TGTGTGTGTGTGTGTGTGTGTGTGTGTGTGTGTGTGTGTGTGTGTGTGTATGTATGTATGTATATGTGCACTATAGTCTTTAATATTTATTGTGGTTGTGTGAAACAAAATGTGTGTGTGCATGCACGTTCTGTTCCATCGATCCTTTTTTTTCGTGTGGCAAAATATTGTATTTTTATATTTTTAAATAACATTCAACTGCGTCGTGTATATGCTATTATCATTATTTTTAATATTATATTTTACGATTATTATTATTATTATTACAATGGTACCCGGCTCTACTATATATGTTCATTTCTCTCTATCTCTCTCTCGCTCATTCTCGTTTGTCAGGGAAATAAATCGATGACTATCTTGTAATGGGGAAAAATGGTAAACGCTGTCCTGTGCAGTGGAAAAATAAATGTAATTTCGTTCTAAAACCAAAGGGAGGGTATCATTTTACTGTTGTACGGATGATAAATTTTGGCTATTGATTTTTTCAATGCGGCTGTTTCTTCGTACATGAAACGTACAATTTTTTTGAAAACTTAATAAATCCCATTGATGAACTTTTATTTATTTCTGATTAGAATACGCTTTTATCATTTTTTTATCGCAAATACTTATAACATTATCGTGATAAAAGTATACTTATTTAATCTTTGCCACATATTTTTAAAAACTGATTTATTTTGTCTATTTTAACTTAGAAATAGGTTGTATTGTAATGCATATTATACACGATTCGATGTAATATTATGTCAGCTTACAATATAAGATTAAGTGCAATTTGTACAATACAGTGTGTAAACGCTAATCGAGAACACTCAATATCTATGTTAGAGACCTGCGATTTGTATTCTGTTTTTTAATACATAAAAAATTTAATAAAAATTAAAAAATATTAAATGGTTAATATTCTAAAGTGAATATATAAAAAAATTAACAAATAGTTTATTCATATAAATAAATAAAAGTTTAGCCTGGAGTATTATTATATTTGTAAATAAAGTACGGCCGGTGTGGAATTAAAATTCATCATCAGGTTTATTTACAAATTACATAGATAAATAAGCTTTTATTTATGTATTTATTTATTTCTATATATAAGCTATTTTTTTATTTATTTATATATGTATTTTTTAATTGTTTGCTATCACATAAAAAGACATAACAAACACATTTTTAATACCTTTGAATTTTTTTTTAAATTAGACAAGCCGCATGTTTAGTAAAACATTTTTTATTAAAACTACTAACTATTTTTTTCTTAATTTTTAATGAATTTTGGTAGTGCAATCAACTTTCCAAGTCTAAAATTAATCAAGTTATAACTATTAAAAAAAATAACGGGAAAATTTTCGCGATTATCAATTTTTTGACTGCAACACTGAAAATAATTATTCTATGATTGTTTAGGCTTGACATTTTCATTTCTATTTATTAAGTTGATATTAACATGTAATTATAATTTTAATTACTGTTAATTTTCACTTTAATTTATGTAAGAATTACAACTTATAGCAGAAAAAACATAAACAAGTATGTTATTTATTTCGTTACATTTAATGAATTTTATTAATAATTAATAAAAAATTTAATTCTCATTTAAATTAATTTAGTTATTAATTAATTTAGCGTATAAATTGTTTAAATTTTTATCTGTCGCTAACAAGCATTCAGTATTCAGCATACCACATAAATTGTTTGTTGCAGCTGTAATTTGGTCAGCAGTCGGTCAATTGCATGCTACTACTATTTATCTTTTAAATTTTGACGATTTATTGGAGGGTCAACATGCGCATTTGTTTTTAAGTCACCCATAAGAAAAAATCTTTTGGCGTAATACTATGTGATCGTGGTGGCCACTCAAAGGGTTCGTATGTTCCTAGTCATCGATTTTGAGACTGTAAATTTAAATAGTCGTAAACCATGTAGGAATTGTGAGCTGGAGCGGCCGTCGTATTGAAAAATAATATTTTCTCTTAGAGCTAAAGGAATATCATCAAGCTTCATCGGTAGCTAATTTAATAAAAATTTATAATATCGTCTTCTACTCGTATTAAGTGCTTCATCATAAAAATATGGACCAAGCCACAAATTAGACCACATCAAATGTTTGCTCCACAAACAGTTTGGTTGTTGAGTTCGAAAGACCAATATGGATTTTGATAGTCTCAGTAACAGTTATTCTATCTATTAATTAAATTTGAGAATTAAATTTGTTATTCATTTTTAATAAATCCCAATAGATTCATTAAATGAAACAAAATAAATAACATACTTATTTACGTTTTATCTGTTATAAGTTATAATTCTTGCACAAATTAAAATGAAAATGAACAGTAGTTGAAAATATAATTACGTGTAAATAACACTTTAATAAATAGAGATGAGAATGTCAAGTCTAAACAATACTAGAGCAATTATTATCAGAGTTAAAGTCAAAAAACTGAAATTCACGCAAATTTTACCATTATTATTTTTTTTCTTTTTTTTTTTCTTTTTAATTGCTGTAACTTGGTCAATTTTGGTCTTAGAAGGTTGGTTAAACTACCAAAATTCATTAAAAAATTAGAAAAAAAATAATTAGTGAGGAAAATAAGTGGTTACGATTTGAGATAAAAAAAAGTAGTACTGCGCATGCGTAAAAATTCAAAGGTCATAAAAAATGTTTATTTTTATGTTATAACAACCTACTAAAAAACAGAATTCAAATTGCAGGTCTTTACACAAAAATATTGCGTATTCTCAATTAGCCTTTATACACTGAATATATATATATATATATATACATACAATATACAATTCTACCGATTTCTATTATAATTCTTAGTTATTTTAATTTGGGAAGTACACAATATCTCCATGTCTTAATAAAAATCTGTATTAATTTATTTATAATATTTTATGCCTTTTACTTATGAAAGCTTATGTACTGTTTAATTTTGTACACTGTATGTATAATATTAATTACGTTTTCGCATACTTACAATTGATATGATTAGCTAGTTTACAAATTAAAAGTAGACTATGGAAATATTTGAAGTATTAGTGAATTAGTGAATACGATACTAATCAATTATTAATTCATTACATTTTTAAATTAACTGAAATAATATGATTGATTTTGACATTTCTATAGTTCTATTGAAAAAGGTTAACTAATACAACTGATTCTCAAATAATTTTTAATTTATTATAATTTATTAAATAGTGTTCAATAAATATGCCTGAATTTCAAAATGATTAAATACGCATTTTAGTTGTGTTTTTTTACACAATTCGAATACTATTTTCTATATAATATAGTTAGTAGTAACTTTATTCATTTAATTTAAGTTCCGTTCGTCTTACAATTTTCGCATTCTAAAACAATGTGCTCAGATATTTATCCACAAATGTTTCGTATTATTTTTCATCTTTATGATTTTGTTAAAAAATTGAACGACAGCTCCCATACATACAGAAAAAGAAAAATGTATATTATGTTTTTAATGAATTCGTCGCGTAAAATGTTTGACCTGTACATCCCAATCTCGCATGATCTTTATCGTAGGCTTCATGTAAACTTAACTTACCCTTTTCTATAAATTGTTTTCAAATCTGAAATATTATTTCATTCATTGGATCACACTTCTATGCCATGTTCTTAAATATTTTCTTCGGTTGATATTGTGTTTTCCCGAGATATTCTTGTGTATGTCAAAAAAATTATTACAATCATATACATTCGCCATTCACTGCTACATTTAAAACAGAATTTAATTTTAATTTTCTATAAAACAAATAAACAATTTTACCGTCGTCATTCGCCGAATTCATAAATGATGGCATTTTATATTATATAAAGAGGTAATTTAACATTTGCCCTTATTGTATGCATAATACAAATGACCTTTTATACGTGTGTTAAGTGCTCCTACAATGTGTTAAGTCATAATCGTATACAAGTACTTCGAATATTATTACGGACTATTTTCATAAAAATATATTTGGAATATCTTAAAAGTTCATAGACTGTTAGCAAATTATGCATGCTCAACTATAGGTCATTGGTTGTCGTATGCATCACTCAAGAAAGATTCTAAGTCGAGATAAATATTTAATCCGTAATAGTTAAGTTTATAAAAAATTGTGTAATATGTTATACTTAATGTAAATATGTTTTATTTTTCTCGAAGACTTATTTACAATTGTAAATGTGGAATTCTGCAAGTCAACAGCCTCGAAATTATAAACAAATTATTTAAATTTCATATCTATTCGGTTTATAATATACGTATTGCAGGGCTTCATGAAATATTAAAAATTATGTTCAATTTCTAAACGATGGATGTATTATAGCGTACCTAACGTTAATCGATTTTACATAAATATTTATTCACGGAGAATTATACCGGGATATTGGTATATAGTACAACCGGGATAAACCAGATGTGCGTGCTCACTGCAATATACTTTTACAGCAGGGCAAGTTTTTACCCTTCTGTTTTTGTGGACGCCACAGTCCTACAACGCTTACGGTTATTTTTAATGATATGGAAGGTTTCCATGAACTTTTTTCCTCCAACCTGTAATTAGCCGTTAAGTATTAAATAATTTTTAGTAAATAAACTCGTAAGTCCTTAGGTTAAGCAGGATGTTGTCAGGGTGAAAAAAACAACGTTGAAACGCTATATTCTATAAACTATCTAAAATTTAGTTAATTAACAATTTAATCGACTCCCTAACCACTTGTTCTATTTTACAATATATATATGTGTGTGTGTGTGTGTGTGTGTGTGTGTGTGTGTGTGTGTGTGTGTATTTGTGTGTATACATTAAGAATTTATTTTAATAATTTATTACGTTAATAATTACGTTAATAATTTATTATGTATTTACATTTTTTATAATTACATTTTTATTTTGTGTTTCTAGGCCAAAATGTTTGAAAGTTCTCAAGCCTGGCTTGCCTCCACGTCCTCGCCAATGACTTGTAAGTTTAATACTATCATATTATATTCATATATCTATTTTTTTTCTGTTATTATAATATTTTTGGCTCAAAGAAAATATTGTCATTTTTTACGGATCTTTTTAATTTGATGGAAACATCTATATATATTCTACACGTAGATTCGTGTGCATCAATATCAACTGTTTTATTTATAGTATATATTTTTATTTTAAATAGTATGCTATTCGCGATTTTTAAATTTATCTACTTTTAATATTTAATATACATATATTATACCATAAATTGAGACAATCAGGTATATTATGAATAATATTCAGTATCAGTATCAATTTAACTCGACATGAGTGATTACAAATAGTAGTTATAAATTTAAATCTAGTAGTTTACTCCTCTCCACTTGTTTATGTCTGCAAAAATTGTTTTTCAAATTAAAACTATACATTTTGTGTAGTTGATTTAAAATATTTGTTACGTTTAACATTTTTTTTTTTTTTTTTTACAGAATTTAAAAATTGTTTGTAATATTATCATATTTAAAAATTATTCATATATTTTACTAAAACAGTTTTTACCATTAAATCACTCGAATATTGGATTAACTTTTATATTTTGCATAAAATAACAATTATAAAAACAATTAAATTTTTTAAGGTTATATCTGCGCCTACGACTAATTAAAATATTACATTTTACATTTTATCCAACCGATTTCAATAGTTTCATGTAATGTACTAGTTAAAGTTGATTTATTTATTACTGAATCGCTAAACTGTTAGGTTATTTTTATATGATTTCGTCATCTTTATTGCTCCGATATACTACGAGTACAATTTTAAAGCGTGTCATCGACGGTAATTTTTATTGTGGAATAATATAAATTTATATATTGATGGAAATCTGAAAACGTTCTACAATTTTATTTGGCTGGAATATTTTATATACATTACAGAAAACAATAGATTCAGTTGAACTTTTTTTTCGCAGTAAAGGGTAGGACACTGACCTCTCACATATATAGTGAAGGTCAAGAAATGAATACACTCTATTGTGTAAACTTTCTTCGTTTCGTTTTCATCCATTTAAGTATCGAAAGAAAGAAAAAAATAGTCTTGAAACCCTATTTTAAGTTTTAAATTTTCACAGTTACATTTATAATTTAGAAATATTTCGTTGAAATATTCGATTTTGTTATGAATTAAAAATCTTATGACTTTCCAGTAACCTTTTTTTTGTTGATTACAAAAAAAAAATTTGCAAAGAATCTTGAATTCAATTTCCCAGCTTTAAGTTTTATACATTTCTTTCTCCAAAAATTGCATAGATTTTCGTGATTTTGATCGAATTGAATTAACATATAACAATAAAATGCTGGTAATAAATATTGTATTTAAGGATTTTAAATATTTTTTAGATGAATCTGTGAACTTACGAAGGTTTTGTGTTATATTTTCAAGCTTCGAATAAAAATTAAAACGTTACAGAATTAAATACTAAAATACTATACGTTAAAACTTGTCTGCAAATGACGCGGATCGTAGTAAAAAAATGTCGAAAATTATTCCATCTCTAGATGATATAAGCCGTTCGGTTAACGTCAAGAGTCTCTATGAATTTCGTTTTCCTCCTAATTATTGCGAGAGAGAAAAATCAAGTTTATCTATTTTTCTCGATTACTTTGAAAGCTGTAAAAAAATTACCTCCCGAACGCAACGACTTGACAAAATTCGCCATCAGGGAAGCATAAAAGACAATCGACAATCGGTCCAAACCTTTCGTTCAAAACATTCTATCGGCGGACGCGAAGGATTAGAAAAAAATTAAAAAAAAAAACACACATCATACAAATGATCGATGGTTTCGCTTTAGATTCCTGACGAGCAATTAAAAATAAATTTACCGGAGTCGCACAGGGGACGACGGAATCAGTAAGAATCGAGTAAAAAACGGAACCCGTTTAAACGGGAAACATTCGGGTACAATATCTCTGGTCGTGCGTGTGTCGGCGGGCGGACACGTGTCAGCGGCGTCCGTACGTGCGCCGACACGTGGAGAACAACGATGATAATTGATTGTTCGCGATACGAAAAGTGCATTGGACGCGCGACCGTGCGCACCGGTGACGTTAGCGGTGGCGGTGGCGGCGGCGGCGGCGGCGGCGGTGGCTGCGGTGGTGTCTGCGCTGCGGCGAAAAGACTGTATATCGCGTTCGTGGGCTCGCCGCCGCCGCCGTTGGCATAGACCACCGAACACGAATGCAACAACAACAACCGTTTGCCATCGCCACCGCCGCTGCCGCCTCCGCCGTTTTTACAGTTGCCGCCGCCGCCGCCGGTGGCAACGTTCACCACGTGCAGACGGCGCTGTCGGTCAACGTAGTAATGCGCGGGTACGAGTGGTGCCGTCTGTAAACAACCGGAAAAGTGCCCACGTGGACGTGTCGCGGGCACCCGCCGTCGCCGGTAGTTCGCTCGAACACGTCGTCGTCGGAAATGCGTTCCACGCGGGCGTGACCCGTGGGATAAAGCGCACTGCGGACCCGCGCGGCCATGTTGTCGCCGGTGCCGCTTCTCCTCGTCCCCGGGTCACGACGGGAAATCATCCTGCCCCCGGGGACGTGTCCTAGGGATGAAAAACGTATCCGTAGTCGCTGTGATGGCGGTGGGGGGGAGGTACAACGGAAATTCTCGACGGCTTAAACGGTTCCATGTTTTTCGTACAATATTTTTCTTCGCGCCGTACGCGTTCAATGTAATTATGCTGCAAAAAAAAAAAAAAAAAAAAATGAAGTAGAAGTTCATATTTGATACCAACGTTAGATTGTTATCGTGACCACGGATAAATAAAACTTACCGCGTGAAAAGAAAATTATTTAAAAACCAAAAACGTTAAATCAAAAACGTATTCGCGAAGGATTTTGGTGCGGAAGGAGAATAAATATATTTCGGGGGAGACTTACTTCCTTAGTTTTAATGTCAATTATTGTTTTCAAATTCACGCATTTTTTCATTTCCTCGTAATGTTTTGTTGTTTTTTCACGAAAACTTATATCTATATGGATTGTTTTCATTTTATTAATTACGCATACATATACATTGCGTAAAGGTGAGATGGATTTTGCCTTGCAATCATGAAGTTACTGCTTATTATAATTACATTTAGTTACTTGAAACTGCCATCTTAGGTAGTAATTGTTTTAGTGTTTTATAAGTGTTTTTGAATAATATTGTTAGAATAATACTATTAATATAGGAACAAGGAGAAGTTCTCTTGTTTTGATACAGGTACCCTTTAAGTTTGTAATTGAAAATAATTAATTCTACATCCCAGAGACTTCGTTCGATCAATAACATCATTATTATATCACACTATCACCTAAACATGCGTTTATTTTAAACATATATGTGCTCATAAATTATACACTTATTATTTATATATATATTGTTTGTGTATATTAAGTAATTAATCTTAATAAAAAATACACTTAGATAGTTGATGTATGTACAATCTAGATGCCATTATAATACATTTATAAAAGTGATAAGTTCTCGTATACATACAATATATAGTCCGTAATGACTAATAATGTGTAACATTAATCCTAAATATTTCTATCGTAATTTGATCTTTTGTACTTTTTTATTGTCACGTACTTTTCAAATGTTTTATAATATTTATCAATTTTATTTGTATAATATAATTAGACTATTTTTTTAAGATCGTTTTCTCATGCCTTTTAAAAAAAAATACGTGCTGTATCAATTTTTTTTTTTATTTTTCATTTTGACTTAGTTTATTTAATTTACAAATATTATATCTACAAAATATAATTAATATATTGATTGTTTGTAGCTAATCATATTAATTGTTGAGTGATGTTCACTTGCTGCTGTTGCCAGTGCTTCTCACCACCCACTATTTTCTTATATTACGGATTTCGAAACATCTTAACAGATCGCTGCGGTTTAGTTCAAAGCAAACGCCAGTGCATGTATTATGGTGTTTTTTAATATTTGAGGTTTTATTGTATTAAATATGTTATTACGCGTCTTGCGCAGGGCAGATATTCATTTTTTTTTTTTTTTAATCGACGTATCTAAAACTATTTAATATATTTGCGCGAAACTTATCTTTCGAACAATGCCATGCACACAGATATAAAATATGTATGTAATTTATACAAATATATCAGATGGTAATTAATAATTTATTCGTTGCGTTCGAACGACGACAACGGTGTATTGTACGCGTTTATATCATCGGTGACGACGACGATGTGTTTGCACAACGATTGGGTATCGAATTGGACGTATTTACGTTGTCATGTGTGTGCGCGCGCGTGTGTGTGTGTGTGTGTGTGTGTGTGTACTACGAGCGCGGCATACGCGTAACATTGACGTCGACAGTTATTATAATAATGTAAATTATAATAATTCGATCGTGACCAATACGGGAGTTGTGAACATTTTGACATTTTGCGATACGACGCACAGGTGTCGCTGACCGGTCGAGGAAGGTGTCGTCGCAGGTTATCGGAAAAAAATTATAATAATAAATTAATCTAATAATTTTACGAAAACACCACGGTGTAAAACTGTATGGGCATACGCTATTGAAATTCCGTCCGCAGTCGTCCGCGGTATGTTTTCACTGGGATAAATGATGCGAAGTCCGTCCCGTCGTGCTCGTTGCACACCTGTATTCGAAGTTTGGGGGCTGTATTTGTGCTGTGCGCACGTTCATCCGGGGAGCGGGGGGCACAATAAAAACACTGATTTTTTTTTTCGTTTTTTTTTCCGTCTTCAACAATCGTTTCGTATAACGTATGGAAAGAAACGCAGTGTAATAATGTATTACTATGTAATACATCTACCACCAGATAATGCGAATAAATTGTAATTCCGTAACAGAAACTTATTAAAAATTGAACTAGTCCAGCGGTCAAACTCGTAATGTAGTGGTGCTACTATTGTGCATTATTCACCACCCAGGGGATATAACAAACCGACGTAGTCCTATCCAGTTAAACTCCCCACCATTTTTCTCTCCTATTTTTTTCTCGTCCGTTTGCCCATTATCATTGCGCAACAAGGTTGAAGGGTTAATGAGTTTAGTAGTAGTATAATAATGCGTTTACCTATATATATGTATTAATGTAATGATAGGTATAGGAAACCGAATATTATTATAATTGTGTGTGTACGCTTGCGCGTGTGTGTGTGTATGTGTGTGTCAGGGGACAATATTATTATTTACCTTACCGGTGGTATATGTATAGACAGGAAGGTGAAGTAGTAAATAGACGGTAGAAATCGTATGTACATCCAATAAATAGAAGGTATACAATATGTTTGTTCGCATAGAGTATAGACCAATCGTGTATACGTATACATATATTACACACACACACATATATATGTATATATAAATTATAATAGTGAACGTTATATTATAATATAGTGCGGCGACTTGTGATGAATTTACATAAAACAATTTACATAGTACATAATTTTACTGTACAATAGTTAAATGCCCTGTTTTATTATACAAAATGCTAATGAACGGACACAGCCATTACAACATAAATATACACACACACACATACATACACATACCGGTAACATTTTACTGCTTATATTAATATTTAGGTTTTGTTTTAATACATTAAAATATATTTGTTCGACGAAACCGTGGTTGTTGTTAAACATTCCAGAACGTCGAATTTCAAAGAAAAATATTTTATGTATTACCTATGCATAATCGTTCGCCGGTACGTAAATAGACGATCAACGTTCAGTATTCCATGCCTACATATGCCTCTGCACAGTACATGTGATATGAACTCGATCGATTTATTTACGAATTACACATAAAATATACGTATTACGTACGAGCATACGCCATTTTCATATATATATAATGTACGCGTTATATCCGCAAAACGAGTTTATTGAGGCGAAGATGATCGTCTTTCGATTATATTTTCCGAATTTTCGTCGATTTTCTAATTTATTGTTATTCGTCATAACTCATTTTTACCGATTCAAATTGTTTTCGACCGTTTGAACTTTCCAATAAATGCCGTTCAAACTCCTAGACATTTTTCATCCCATAGTGTTTACAGCGTTCGCTTGTTATAGGCAATAAAAAAATAAATATTGATTTATACGTTTCATTCGGTCACATCGTTTTCCTCTTTCCTACAGCTCTGGTCTTTATTTCTATTAAAATTTTATAAAATTCACCCCTTTTTATTTTCCCGCAGTGTCAATAAACTACGGCATGGTATGGATTGACACAAAATTTCTAATAAGATATTTATTACCAATTATTTTTTAATACTGTCGTCCTGACCTTTTTTCCCTTCGTGCAATAAATAATATTGGTTAAATAAAAATAAAAAAAATTGTGTGCTTATTGTAGCTTATATACGCTTCCCGTATAATGTATACTAATAATTTACAATAAATTTATATTATGTATATTTTTCGATTTCAGTCGCGTAATTTATATTTTTATTTTTTTTCTATAATGACAAAACATTTTTTCGACGAACGTCCTAACAGCGAGTGCGCAGTGTGTCGTGTGGAGAGTGTACATGTAAAACATATACAGTGTATTTACATATACGTCTACATTGAGCTGTACGCGTCTGTCGCATATTATATAATAGTATATAATAGTATTATGTACAGTATTAGCTAGACGCTTTTAAATTATTATAATACATATTATATTATGCACAAAAGCGCAGTATCGGGTTTTGTGATAGCACTGCACACACTGCACACGCACACGCACTCACCAGTATTGACAATATTATGTGTACCGATTCGACTCATCCTGCTGGTTCCTCGTCCTGCGCCACCTTCTCCCGTTCAGTTCGTAGGTGATACATAATCGCGTATATATCAACGTATGTATTAAATACCAAACGAATAATTTGCATTAATAAAATTAACGCGACACTGTAGAAATGTTTAGGTGTTTATTATTTGTTCTATTCCGTGTGTTCATTTATGTTGATACATACAACGTTTTAAATTTGGACGGCAACATTTATTTCTCTCTCTCTCTCTATCTTTCTCTCATTAAAAGCCCGTAAAAGCGCACGTGCAAAACACCATCGCATCGCACGCGCGTGTTTCTATTCGTCCGACGAAAAAAATAGTTCAAGTCTCCGTACTCGTATTGTGTATTAAATTATGTAATGTAGTTGTATATTTTATTCTCTAGCAAATATTGCACGGGTCGCCGTACTCGGGTTCCAACTCGCGTATAAATCAAATGTATCTGTAAATGTATGAGTACGTGCGCAGGAATTTGGTATGGAGGGCGATGTCGTAAATATAAATGTATTATTTTCAATCTTTATTCTTTATTATTATACAAAAAAAAAAAAAAAAATGCAATCAAGGCGAAAATTCATCCTTCTGGCTTTTACACTATAAGTTCATCAATTATTTGTTCTGTAGATAATGGAATGTCTCGATGTATGTTCATTAACGCCAATCAATTTAACCACGACTGTCCCGTTGTATTTTTTAAATACGTTTTTAAACGTTTAAGACCAAAAAAAAAAAAAAAAAAGCCCACGGGGGGGATATATCGCCTTATCATCACTTTCTGCGCACGCCACTGCGTGTGGGTTCGAGCGCATACTGGATCTATCGAAAATCGTACAGCTAATCGTTTCCCTCGTACGCAAAACGTTTAATTGATTCGCAATCGATTTTTATCGACGCTCTGCGGGTGACTGTTCGTTGGTCAGATTTTCCACGCGGACAATTCGACGTTGTTATTTCGTACGTACGTCCCTTTCGGTGTGCTGCCGACACGCGCGTTCAGCTTTTTCGTTGACCATCGCCGCGCGATTCGATTGTTATCACGTTGTCTGCGGTATGACGAAAAATAATAAAATAGAAATATGAAACGTATTTTGTTCGTACGGCATATCACCTAACCCACGTGTACACGGTGCGCCGTATTACGTTAAATGTATAATTTAATTGTACATCATATATATATATTTATATCATTAACCGTGCATTACGACGAAACAGCAAATTAACGGCGTGCGCTCTTGTTTTGACAGCCGACAGTTACCAGTACCAGTTGCAGTCCATGTGGCAGAAGTGCTGGAACACCAACCAGAGCCTGGTGCACAACCTGCGGTTCAGGGAACGCGGCCCGCTCAAGTCGTGGAGACCCGAGACCATGGCCGAGGCCATACTGTCCGTGCTCAAGGAGGGCCTGTCGCTGTCCCAAGCCGCCCGCAAGTACGACATACCGTACCCGACGTTCGTGCTGTACGCCAACCGAGTGCACAACCTACTCGGGCCTTCCGCGGACGGCGGCGCAGGTAAATAAACACGTAACAGCGTTAGGCCGGATCGTTCTATTTCGTTTCTTTCCATTCGTCCCGACAACAATAATATTAATGATTATAACAATAATTACAATATTAATAACAATAATGATAACCATAATAATATTATGATGCGCCCCGTTGTTTCGTTCGTTCCCACGTGTGACAATTACACGATTCACGACCGCGGTACAGGTAAACGTAAACCTGTTCGCCGATAATTCTCATCGGACCCATTTTATACGATTCGTATTTCATAAAACACACTATAATGTGCCTACTATCTACGCACGTGATACGAATTATACGTGTACGCTGTGCAATTAAACGTTTTCAGATCGAATTGCACAATCGTTTAATTTGTTGTATTATATGTCACGATTACACGTAATAATATTATAATAACATACGTCGTGCGTGCGTGTATAAATGAAACGCTGAACTCTCTTAATATATCGATTCGTTTAACGTATTTATTATTTGTATGACGAAATTGCTTATCGCGTCTCTCCGACTAAATTTTTCTTATTATTATTATTGAAACTAATACTAATAATAATAATAATTTATTATTATTATTATTGTATTTAAAAAAAAAAAAAAAATTAAAATTCCGAGAATATCCGAATAAGATTTACTATAAATAATTTATGTTGTACGCGCTACGTTTACGTAACACTAACGTTGTAGTGAAGCTGACGGTTATTAAAATTTATACATTTTACGTAAATATCAACGTTTTCTTGTTATTAAAATAATAACATAATAGGTTAGTTGTATACATTTTTCTCGTTGATTAAAACTTACAAAGACACTACTTGTATAGGTACCCTTTTTTCTGAGGTTTTTTCCAATGTTTTCCCCTTTAAATCGGTTGTGACCAGCATTTAAATCGTTACGAATACAATAGTAAAAACGAATTTCGTTTGCGAATACATACATGTGACTTCATAGAGAGAAATATTTCTGCAACACTTATTTCAAATATTGTAAATAATCTTCAAATCAATAATAATTACGTACAAGAGAAGTTATTCCGCATTGAAAATACTTATGATATTTAGTAGTTGCTTTGTGGTAAAATGTTTGAGAGGAGTATTTAATGCTATGCAATACATTTTACTTTATACACCACCTACAATCACGGATATTACAGTATTTGTATAATATTCGAGTTGTTGTCAATTATTTTGTTTTTTGTTATTATATTATTTTGTTTTGTATTTTATAATAAATTTCAAAATGTATATATTCATAGTATGATTTCTTCCTCTTCGTTCGACTTATTTTATTCCATATAATTTCGTGTACAGAGTATACATAAAGCGGTGTAATGTGTAAAGATACTACCGAACAATGTTTTTTCCTTCAAAATTTCCTCAAAAAACACTTAAAGGTTATTTTTACTATTGAATATGATACATAATAAACGTAATTGTACTAACTTTGCTTACTTCCGTGACTTGTATATTATTTCAAATTAAATACCACTATTTTCAAACTGCAACGACCAAATTTATATTTATATTGTTCTGTACTATGGTTGTGTAAAAATGTAATAAATGTATCTTCCGACCGATTTATACAGTTTTTCATTTGTATTTTTAGTGCTATGCTACAATAATGTATTATTCATTTTTATCCGTTAGATGTTAAAATATTAGCTTCGTCGTCGTAACCATTATACTTAATTCGTTTCGACTTCTCGGGAGATCCTTGGTCATAATAATAATGTCCAGTTTTTTCAGATCGTTAACTCATCTTTTATTATTATTAAGAACTTATATCGCTGTGTGTGTGGATATATATATATATATATATATATATATATTAGTTTCATGGTTTTATTGCGAGTAAATCTCTCTCGAACACCCTAGTATTTCTACTGTATATGTGTGTTCGTGTGTGTATGTGTTTATGTATGTGTGTATGTGATAGCGAGAAGGGAGTCAGTACGTCAGTCTTATTAAGAATCGGACTACTTCCTATATTTATATATATTTAAACACATGTATAGCTATAACAATTTTCGGTAATGTAATAATAAATACCTACCCTGCAGACAGCTTATCGAATTTTTTATCTCCAAAACCCTTCGATTCCACAATAATAATAAGAACGTATAGGTAATAGCCTATACCCTCTACTGAATTTTCAGACTTTTCCCCGATTGCCGTTGCTCCATGTAAACCGAAATCCCCAGAGTGTACATCAATGTATATATATTTATAAATAAAATAATATGTATTGGTATATATATATTTAAGTTATGGCGGGTGCATCGTACTATATATCCTTGTACTCACACATACACACATACGTATATATATATTATGTGAGAAAGGTATAGAATATTATATATATATATATATTTATACTATTTTTGGATCATCATCTTCATTGGTCTCTTCATAATACGAACACGTGTAATGAGTAGAATGTAAAATTCAACCCTCCACTACCCAAATAATGTGTGTCGTGATACATACGGTACTATATATTTATAGGTACATTTTTTAATTACGTTAACTTTAACTTCGTGGTTTCGCCGTCGCTTCCGCTACACCGACAACCATGTCCGTCACCGATCGAGTGTTTTTTTGGCTCGTGTATCGTATATTTTATAATATTATAAACTTTGTTTTTCGGTCCCTCTACTCGTTTCCCCGCAACTGAATGGTCCCGGTGCTGTACAGCTAATTCTGCCGTATATTATATGATATTATGTATCGATGCAAAATAAATTAATACATTTATTACCTAATACGTTAGACATTTTTTCATGTTTATAGTAGCATTTTATAACATTTTTTTATTGTTACTTTCATGAATTGAACCTTTTAGTGATTTTTTACACACAAGAACGTTCTTTGTTAGCCAGCACACCACTTATGTTTCGAAACGAGGGAAAAAAATTCAAAATATAATCTCCTCCAGACGATCGCCCAAAGCCTTGTTTTCTGGATTGTTGACACAAAATAAACCCCAAATATTTTCACACTTCACCGCCGTCTTCATTTTTTTTCTTTATTTTTAACATTTTAAGATATATTTATTTTTTACCGACTGTGTTCGCAAAGAAAATTAAAAACACATAATGTTCTAATTAAAAGTTTTCCGAACGAATAGTGTTTTTCTTAGCTGTTCGGTTTCCCCAGAAATTCATAAAATTTTGATAAGCCGCTGAATCTGTGTTGGTATGACAAATAAAACTTTAATAATTTATTAATAGCTATTTTAAATAAATAATTAGATGTAAAGAAAAAATGTACGCTCAAATGCTGAGTAGTAATTGATTATTATTTTTTTTTTTTTTTTTTTTTTTTTTTTAATACAATTTTACTTGTTTACATAAATCGAAAAAATTAAATGTCATTATCAATCTATTTTAATTTTTTATGACGGAACAAGTACCAATTAACTTTTTGCATTATTGTGCTATTTTAAATGTTAATTTTTGTATCAAAACTAATTAATATAGTTTTCTAAGAAAATTAAAAATTAAATATATTCTTAGAATCTGACTAAAAATCAAAAACAAAACATACAATTTTTAAATCAATTTTTTGTTTACCATAAGTCAACACTTTAATATATTATAAAGATACCTACTCTATGTTTATGAATGCTTGATAAATATCCTGAATGTGTTATATGATACTTTTTTTTATAAAATAAAAATATCAATTTAATATTATTTAATGTTAAATATCAGTTTAAGAAATGATGTAGCTACTAGAATATCTAATTTGTATTAAGTATAATTATTATACTCTTCTTCGACGCTATCAAATATAAGCCTATTTTAAGAATAAATTAAATTAATGAATTTGTAATTATTTTTCCTGGGGATTTTATAAGTACTAATAATATCAATATATTTTTTCCTATTTTTAAATTTTTGGAATACATTTTCTCGATATTTTTTATAAATAATAATTATATAACTTATAATTTAATTATAAGATAGGAAAATTTAATATCTAGCGGGTATTATGTAAATTATTTTATTATTAATTTATTTAGTTGGCGTGTCATTCCTGATAAATAAATTAATTAGGTTACCTAGTATATTTCAATAATGATATATATTTTCTAACATAATAAAAAACTTAGACAATTACTGTAAACAATTCTTTTGTTGTTTTAACATTATGTATTTTTAGAACACATTAATAATTCTTATGTATTATTGTTTTGTTCATAGACTTGAGGCCTAAAGGCAGGGGACGTCCTCAACGGATATTATTAGGATTCTGGCCAGAAGATCACATTCAGAACGTTATCAGAACTGTCGTATTCAGAGACGCGCAAAATATCAAAGAAGAAGCATTACACCTATACCCAAGAATACCGGTAAGAACAAACTAAAATAAATGTTATATTTTACCAGTTTTTAAATTTAATAACTATATATTATATGAACACATATGTGTGTGTTTGTACTTTGTACCTACATTAATAACTATAAACAAAAGTAATTAATAATAAAATAAGTCATATATTTTTTGGATTTAAAACAAAATAATAGCTCTTTAATTTAAATGTTTTTTTTTTTTTAGAAAATATCTATTTATTTTTATATATTTTTTCTTTGTTCAGTTGGCTCATATTCTTTAATTTAATAAATATTGACAAATTACCATTATTAAATTTTAATCAAGGACGTTTCACGAAGCTTATAATTTATGATTCAACGATAATGGTATATAATAAATGTACTGCACAATACATCACACAAAAAAAAAAAACATTGAAAAACATAATTGTTATATTACTTATTTATTTTGCCATTATTTGTAATCAAAAATAAATTTCATCAGTTGCGTGTTTGAAATTGCATTTCCATTGACTCGTTTGTATTTTTATATTTATGTCCTTTATTTTACTTCATACAATATGGTATAATACTATACATGGTCTAAAGCTCAATTTAAATATAATTAAAAATACGTAGTATTAAATAAAATATAAATAGTTACATAATATGCATAAATTTGTTTTTTCAAACAAATAACATTTTTCAACGCCATATAATGCAATACATACTAAAATTATAAACAAAAAGTTATTCAACAAATGCACTGAGAAAATAAAGCGAACTAAAAAGATTATTTAAAAAAATCCGATATAAATGACAACAAAAACCTATTATTTAAGTTTTAACATAAATATGTGTAATTTTATTTATATTATCCTAATTATCTCAAATAATGTTGTTCGTTGTCCTTTTTTTCCACTAAATTCTACTTCAAGAAATGTATTATATTATTATTCTGTTTCAACATTAAAAAATGTCATTATTAAATGATTTTATAATTTTATAATATCTCCCTCTATATTTTCCATGAAAACATAATTCAAACATGCATTTCAAATAAAACTTTTTTTAAAACCCATTGTCGTTACTTTTTAAAATATTATCCAACATAATGGCTACTTCTACTTTTTCGTTTCGTGTCATGTTTTATTCGTTGATAATTTATTTAGTTTGGTGACAATACATTTATATTTACATATTATATGTTTTATACTGAATGCCGGCTGTAAATTTATAGAAAAAAAAATTTAAAAAAATCATACATCTATTCTGGGTTCAATTTTTTTTTATTCTAGTTCACTGTCTATGAGTTATTGATTATTAATGTCCAAAAGTAAAATAAATTGGGATTTAATTTTTTTTTTTTTTAGGATGACGAAATTGATGCATTAAATAGCAACTGTATACTTTGTCATTATTATTACTATTAATGTACACTATCCTATATTGCGTGCGTCGTAAAGCATTTAATAACTATGTTTAAACAAAATTTGAACGTAAAACATTTTTTGATCGTGAATTTTCGAAAATAAATTTAGTTCTTGTATGTGGGAAGTGTATTATTTTATCGACGAGATTAAGATATTTAATTAGTATTATATACACTCGGTGTTCGTTGAAGTAATGTTTTCGCGAGGCCAATAACAATTTATTATACAATCCAATTAGTCTTTAAAAGTATATCGCCGGAGTAAATTAATTTAAATTTATGCAAATTTAAAAAAAAAAAAAGAATCCATTAAGGTTTTTAATTTAAAATAATATTTTATAAAAGATTTTTTTATTTTAATTTTTATTCTTCTCGTTTTATAATTATTTTCTCGTGAAACTTATTAATACAACAGTACCGATATTTTACGTTTAGTGTTTGTCCGACTCCATGTCCGGCGGTCACTATGGAAACAATGCGGTTCAGTCGGTGGAAGGCCCCGTGTCACCAAACTCGGCCGCCGCAGCCGTGGCCGCCGTCGCGCAGGGTATACGGCAGCAAATGATGGCCGCTGCCGGACATAACATCTCTCCTTCGTCGGGCGTCGACGCGTTCGCGCTGCTCGCCTCTTCTCACCTACCCAGTCCGGCCGACATGTCGCCGAATTCGTCGCCACCAGATTCGCCGCTAGTGTCCAACAACAATGTTGAGGTGAGAACGCACGCAGAATTGTGACCAGTGACGTAGTTACCCGTGGGGGGGAGGTGTAAGGGATTTCCATTCCCTTCCCAGATTTTTTTTTTTTTAATGATATTTAATTATTATTTATTAATAATTAATTTATTAAATAATAAATAATTTACATATTATGTGGTAAATGATACTTTCATTTTACTATGATTAGGAGTATATTAAAAATTGAGTAACGAAATAATTTCCATTAAATACGAGACATAATAATAATACTATTTTAAATGTAATATTATTATATAGGACCTCGTATTAAGATATATACTAAGAATATTATGAATTGATACTTAAACAGCCCCCACCCCCAGAAAAAAATTGTATCTACGCCACTGATTGTGACGGTACCATCACCGTTGTGCACAGATGCTCGAAAACCTACACTTAAACTCGAAGAACAATTTATCGTGTTCCCCGACGGTACACTAGTTTTACTAGGTTTATTAGTGCTTAAAAGTGAATCGAATGGTACACGGCTCGAATTTTTTTTCTCATCCACCCGGTAGAAACGTATGACTGACCGGTTATACTACGACGTTTCCCTAGCATAAACTTTCCCATAAGTAAATCTACACAAAAAAAATCCTCTCGTGCGATTAAATTTACACATGTATCATATAAAACCGTGCAAATATTATACGTATTCAAACGAATTGTTTCTGTTTCGGCTCGATATTAATTTTGTTTGTTTTACAAATCAACAGGTCAGCCTGAGTGGTTACAAAAGATCTATCGATCACTCCAACCAAGATAACGTGTTCGTCGAAGACATCGATGAGCTGGTGAAAAACAGCCATTGTACCGGAGGCTCGTCAATGGGCAACACCATCGATCAGCAGCCGTTGCCGTTAGTCATTGAGCAACGGACCGAATGAACATCTACACACAGACTGAGATAAACTAGCGAACAAATCCCATAATACCCACTACTGTATTTAAAAGACTTTGCAATCGTATGTGCAAGTCGGTTGGTGATTAAATAAAACAACAACAACAACAAACTATATATTGTAAACATAAAGCATAGACTTATACTATATTTGATGCAGTCCTAGTATTTATTTTTAATAGTAATGTGTATATATTATTGCACTGTGTAATCGTTAAAATACTCACTATTACGTCATTTTTATTTCTCATAAGTAAAAATATATGTTTACTGTACATATATATTTTGAAATATTGATGGTTTTAAAACAAAATTTACAGTTAATAAGATAATATTAATATGTAATATACATTTTTCTAAATAATATTTAAAACACAGATAATTTACCAAGTCGAAATAATTTCGATTCTACAAATGACATTACGCGTATCACGTGAATCAACAAGTAGTTTTTTTTATTACATATTTGTATATTATACGTACATTGATGATTATGTATATACATATATATGAATAAATGTTAGACACCTGGAATTTATATATATATATATATATATATATTTATATAATGTAAGTGTGAATATATTGTTTGATATGTGTCAATACTATGTCTGATGGACAATAAAATGTGTTATTATTTAACAGTAGGTTGTAAAAAAAAAAAAAAAATTAAAAAAAAATACATACATACTTATAAATAGTAATGCTTGTAAAATATGACATGCGGTTGCCATGATAATTATTTATATATAAGAGTAGTTTTTTGAGTATTGAAAAAAAAAATTTAATACATATACTTTAAGGCAATATTGTATTGGTTACCTGTTCCTAGCACGTAAATATCTATTGTAAATCATTTATTGAAAAAACAAACATTCTCAACGGACTAGGCCAGTAAAATGTATTTTCATGTTTCTTTTTTCTTTATTATAATTTTTTTTTTTTTTTTAGTTTTAGATTAATTTATTTTACACACACTTTTGTTATCATAAGCTTGTTGTATGCATAACTCTCATTTAAATTTGATTCATTAAATTATATTGTTTATTATTATATTCATTAAAATATTATTAAATTATGGACTTAAATAAAAAATTGTACTTGTTTTAGATTACACGAATAAATAAGTTAATATTATTGTAATACTCCGATGTGAATATTATTAATAGAGAAAAGGTAATACTTTTTCTTTTGTTGTATATTTAAAAAAAAAAAAAAAAATATGAACCTTGCTACATTACATACTCAATGTGTTTTTCTCATTATTTATTTATAGAAACGATTTTATTTCTGATGTTTTGGCATCCACCGGAAAAAATGAAGTACTCTGAATTATAATTCGAATGATATACATATATAATATTATATATTTGTAATGTACAGTGTTCGTATTACTTGAAAAACAAAACAAATAAAAGACTTTAATTTATCATCGTATGTTTTTTATAATAGCTATTAAAATATGTTTAGTCGTATTTTTTATTACCATGGGATCATATATATATACGTATATAAAGGAACATCGTGGTTTTAGATGGGCTTGCTTAAGAATTATTCATAGTGGGGGACGATATTTTATTTAATAATAAAAACGAAGATGTACACTGGAATTTCCTGCCGATATACCATCATTATTATAAAACATTGCGACTACTTTTACAAGCTGATGTTCCGACGATAACTGTATATAATACGGGATAAATTCGATGTTCATACAACACTGCCCGAGTAGAGGAGCAAAAAACACGTTGTTGTTGATATTTTTATTCAGATTTATGAGATTGATATCGAAATATTAACATTACTAATACATAAAATGAATTTTACAACTATTGTTTTTTAACAAATTTATAATAATATGTTCAATAAAACGGTTTGACACGAAAAACGATAACTCGTAGTTTAATCGTTCATGTTAATGTACCATGTATGCTACCATGTGTGTTCAACACATTTCGGTCATTTGTATCGGAGTGGCATCAATTTCTGTGTTCGTCCCAAAGACAGAATCAGCTGTAAACGTTCTCGTCTTAATATCATACGTAAAACGTTAATTTCCCGCGGCAGAAGACTGCACGGAGAAGGATGGTAGTAGCGTTTAATATTCATCCCGTATGGTGTATTTTATAAATTAAGTAATACAAACGTATTTTTATATTTACCCATTACCGGCGTTTTACCGATCAGGCAATGATTTTTCTCCCGTCTACATTTTAAAAGCAGCTTGACGGACTTGCCATTACAGTGAGATGGACCTTTGTGCTGTATCTTTTTTAAAGGTTCTCATTAAAGTTCTCACGCTTCACAAACAATTTTAAATAACGTCACTGTAATCGGCTGAAGTAGAAATCAACTTCTTTTTCTTGTTAAGAAGCGCAGAAACAAAAATAAAAAATGCACTTTCATTTTACCTATAAATCTGAATATTTTATCATTCAATTACCGAAGATTACCAGAATCGGTTGGTATAGTTAAAAAGGCTTTAATTAAAATGATTACTCGGGATTTGGAAATATTAAAAACGTATTAGAATACAACTCGTGGAAGTGTTTTTAATACAATAAATGCCTACAACCAGCCTCTGTGAATGGTTTTACTCGGGATTAGGGTAATGCGGTTGGTAAAATAAATACTAGCCGATGTCATCATTACAAATCATGTTACGCATGTTTCAAGAAATACAACGCTATGATGTCCGTTTATTTAATAAACATTGTCGTGTACATGCGAAAATAAAAATATTACCGAATTAATAAAAAAAAAATATTTCCGACAATCCAACCACCGACGAGTTCACCGAATGGTATACAAATTAATTATTATTACCGATTTAAACACGTTTTTATTAATACTAATTTGTACGGCGTTATCTTTTAAATATTTTACGAGTTGAAACACATAACACTAATCTTCGAAACACATGTTGAGTAGAGGTATATATTTATTGTGCAAAGATAAAAAATATTATTGTTTAATCTAAGTGCTGCTCTTAATCCCGGACTTGTTTGAACAAAAACGTTTAGTGTACGTTGAAATTCATTATAAATAAAACGTTATGAATACACTAAATATATGTTATTATGAAATTGTCAATGCGACCTCTAAAATAAATAGCCTAACGACATAACGTAAAATTCCGCGCGTCAGTAAACGTAGTGCACACATGTGATGTGTACAATGCGTTTATGGGGATTAATCGATTCACTGTTTAAGTTTTAATATAATATCGTATCTTATTATGATCGTTGTCTCTCAAGGACTAATAAATTGTAATGACAATTTCGTCCGTGATTTCAATATTCGATAATAAGAATGAAATTTGTCCTCATCGAGACTAATTAGTGACGACGGTTGCGAGTCACTGAAACGTGTTTACATCGTAATGTATTATGATATTCGTAGTGTGTACTACTAAATTATGAATGTGTACCTACGACAAATTGTACACGAATTTTAATAATATAGGTGTAATATATATTTATAATCCATTTCGTACATTAGAACGTGGTATAATAGAATATATTTATTTCTTCAAAGTCAAAGTTGTGCCGTACTGTACCTACGCAATTTGAAAAAAAAAGCTGTAAATAATATTTCACCGAACGCGATCGTGGAACACAAATATTTACTCAATCGTGTAGTGAAGTGTAGTGTACGGTTATCGCAATCTCCACAATATAACATATCATTATGGTAGGTATTATAGTATTGGCGCGACTCGTTAATAAAGGGCCTATGTGAACATTTCCAGAATAGGGCCCTTGTTTATTGTTCGTATTATTATTATTATTATTATTATATTAAAACAAATAGTATGCTATGTGTATAATACAGATTATAGTAGGGATATCGTAAGGGATAAAAGAAGTATCGGAAGAGATCTCGGGACCTCCTGTGAATTGCATACCCAACACTCCGGATAATAGCGCCACTGATAGGTAGACAACTAGTTGAAAACCTACTTACAACCATTATTATTTATTATTACTCGGTATACGCAACAAACCTGCACATAATATAATGTATTATAATCAACCGTAGTATTAATTATGTGCATACGATCGTGAAGATTAACCGATGGACTGGATTCCAGGTGCACATTCGTTCACTGACCGCGAAATATCGCCGATAGGTAACCCTGGTGCACAAAACATTTACCTATACGTAGTATATCGTGGTTAGGTGTAGTATAAAAAAAAATAGAAAAATTGTAAATTTGGCGTGCCATTGCCCGGCGACGGAAAAACTCTACACTAGAACGGAGGCGATCGTTGCTCGCGAATAACCGTATACCACCTGCAAGGTTCCTCGTGGTCCGTACCAGCTACTATACGAACAGAGGATACTTGCAATTAACCTACGCAAGCCGAAATCACAAAACATATATCATACGCGTACAATATATTGTGCAGGTGCTCCGTACTACAAAATAATATGCAGATACTATTCGTAAACAGGTTTTATACTCATAAGAGGCCATATATGAAAATTCATTCTACGATTATTATATTCAATTTATATATAATAATTATTCCATTCAAAACTAATAATAATAATAATAACTCGTTAATATATATACCTTTATGTTATATAGTCGAAAATTAAATTCTCATCGTATAAAAATGTACAAAACTTATAATGACTAATGCGATGTGTGTACGTATAATGGCGTACGGTTGATTTTTATTTTAAATACTGTGTTCTCTACATGTATACACATACAGCGCGCACTGTACTAACTATACAACTATACAATTTTTTAACTTAAATATTAAAATCATGAACCATAATTCTATTCCAACCTTGGAAATAATAATATATTATAAAACACGCAGTTAACAACGTTGTGTTTTATATATGTACGAGTACATGCCCCGAAACCCCTTGAAAATACAATTGAAAGTTATAACTAAAAAATGTAAAAATAAAGAAAAAAAAATCAACGTGAATTATACAAAAGTACATATTATAATATAATATAATTTCTAAATTATACACAACCGCCGAGTTATAACATTATGTAATGTACAAATGATAATATACAATACCTACGTGTACGTACTACATACAGGCGCGTACAGTCGACTTTTATTGAAAATTATTATATTTAAAACGTTACTTATCTACCTACATTATTAGCTATTTATTACATGTATTTCTTTGTTATTTTATTAATAATATATAAGTATAAAAATCATAAAAACAGGAAATTAATACAAATAAATAGGTAGGTACACAGAATGACTACACCACGGCGGCGCATTTCAATATTAAATACAAATTTTTCATGTCCTAATTTTTTTAAATTTTTTTTTTAACAAATATGCCATAGTTAAAGTACATTAGGTATTTAAATATTACGCATAATGTTAATATTATTTAAGAAATTAACGAGTGAAATATTCTTAGTGTACTGTAAAAATATAATTAAATTTATCACGATTATAATATTTGATTTTTGTGTAAAACGTGTTTACGTCATCGTACATTATAAAATTAAAATGTACATGAGAAATTACTTTGTACCTATGTGTAATATGTACTATAAAATATTTATACAATTTACCTATCCATAGCAAAGGTCAAAATAATCAGAAACATGTAAAATTATTAGAATAAAATACTTCATACAAGAAATATATTAATAAAAATAATCAATGAAATATTAATAATAGGCACTTAATCAAATTAATAGACCATTGTAAAATAAAAAATAAAATAAGACCATATTGAAAAATAATTATTCTTTATAATTTAGTTATTTATTAAAATATATGAAATATTACAACTTAACATTTAAATTTAAAAGATAGACTTATCTTTTTATTGATTTTAAATTTTTCTTATACTCTAACACTTCTTTAGTTTCAATTTATAAAAATTAAATACTTTTTATACCTACCTAATTATTTATTATATTCTAATGAATATACCTCTGTAAATAAATTGTATCAGCTGATTACATTGACTTAAACAGTGGCGTCATTTGGAGGGAGGGGCTATTCCTTGAGGCATTTGCCTCAGTCTAGAGTTAAGCTATTCCAAAGTCGACACAACACCAAATTATAAATACGTCATATAAATAAAGCCATTGACATGTTGTAAATTAGAAAAATAAGACGTGTACATATGCGGCTATTTATGAACAAAGAACAGATCGTAATATATTTGGACCAGTATGATATCCATTTCCCCCCAAGTAAACCAGCACTTTGGTAAAATAATCCGCCAATTTAATAAGTGTATGCCAACTTTTCTTCTCTAAAAAAAAAACTGAAATGCTGACACTGGACTTCAATTAACTTAATTAGCTGTGAACCAACTACCTACCATTTCAATCATTTCTTAGTAAAAAAAAAATTCAATATTTTAAACAACTCAGCTCAAATATTTTTTATTTGACAAGTATAATTTAAATCAAACTGACAAATACAAAGTCATTAGTTCATTAAAATGTACAGGTAAAAAATTGTCGATGAATATAAATCCATTCCGGCAAAATACGAATTACCACCCATCTAAAACATCTGACTAATCTATATTTACTGAAGGAATAGAAGTACCTATGTTTAGAAAATGTATTCAATCCACGTAAAAATCATGGACATTTCATCAGTAATAATACAAATCCTAAACAGGTTTCAAATCATTTTAAAATAACTTTAGGCGCACACGTGGTGTCTGCTGAACAGAGTGGGTTTAACATAGGTGCAAAAGGAGTTCTTGCTCAGAGGCAGTAAAGTTATTGGGGCGGCAATGATGACATAAAAGTTGGGATATTAAAAATATTTGTAAATTATTTTTCTTAGTATCAAATTTTTATTCTTTGGAACAAATAAATACATAATCAGAACTAATTATATGATTTTATATTATATTATATTATTTTAATAAATTATAACAAAACAAAATATAATAATAGAAATATTATTGAATCTGCTACGAATAATTTGCCGCAGTAATTATAGTAGTATTAATCACAGTTTACATAGAATTTTGTGAAATAGTGCGATAAATAAACGATTTTTATGGTTTTGTCTAATCGATGTCCAATCTGGCAGCCTGATAAATTATTAAAGATTAGATATTATACTTTGTTCGCCGAAAGAATTGTACTGCTTAGGGACGTGAAAATCGACTGAAAGTACGATATTTAGAATATAGATATAAAACCCCATTATCATAGAACTCAATAAATATTGTATTTTAGTATAGATAATAATTGATATTAGTTCATATACTGATACAAAAAACCCAAAACCACTTGGCTGTATATGGCGGCTTGAAAACGACATTAATTTGTTATATTTATTTTATTTATATATTTATATGAATACAATCCAGTATCCACAAAACGCAAACGACACACGCAAAACGCAACAAGGACCGGATTATGGTCGTAATATACGGGGGGGATATAATATAAGCGTGTCCAGACCTTTTCAACAAGCCGTCCACAAAACAATTATACAAATGCGATAGGTACTGACATTGAATACTAGTATTTATAATCAATGGTACTGAATTATCAAAAAGGAAAGAAAATAAGATCTTTAACATACACGAATATAATTATAAATATTCCTAATTCCTACTATAAAACGTTGTATTATTGGAATCATAACTTTAAATTATCATTAGGTATTCGAAAATGCAATTAAAATCGTATTTTCCAGGTCGTACCTGTTCATGAGACCCACGACTCGTACGACACGATTTTGAAGGGAGGCTTTTTTACTCTAAACAATTTTGTTTTTTTATTTAGATTTAGTAATTTTTAACAAGTATTAAAATAAGTTTAGTATATTTGTATATTGTAATATATTCACAATAAATTGATAAAATAGTACTTTATATTCGTCAGCTAATGATTATAAAACACATGGTGGTTCCTTTCAACTTGCGGCTCGGGGCTAAGAATATGGAAAAATTTTATCTCATAGTACATGTGTTCGAAAATAATTTTTATGAACTACTAGAAATACAGAGATTAGGTTAGTTTGCTCCAGGGCAGCTCTGATCCTTAATCCTACTCTGCTGCTGAGTCCTAAGTAACTACCTACCTGATATAATACAGTTGACTTCATTTCGGAAAATTATAGATTATACTTTTTTATCCTAGTATAGCATGTACACTTAAATTAATAAGATACTTATAATTTATAAAATAAACTATGGATAGAAGCACAAATTACAAAATATAATTACATTTAAATAACTAAACAAGAAAGATTTATTACTTGAAACTGATAAACAATAATTAAAATAGATCTACCTATTAAAAAAATAGAAAGATTGACCATAATATATTTATTGAGACCATACAGTTCTGCTTATAAGAACGCGACTTTTAATCCATTTATGTAATGGGAGCAATTTAATTTGCTCATTGTAGTATGTTACTAGAGATTTTTTTTAAGGTAGGAACCAAAAATTGCTTAAAAAGTATATTTTCCGGGAAAAACTATATATTTTATATTGATTAGTTTTTTTAACAACTTTATCTTTGTATTGTAAAATAATATATTTTATCAATTTATTTTAATAATATATTACTAACCTGTTTCAGCATCATATCTATAGTATGTCCCCCCTTGCGCTTCAAACTGAATTATATTTGTTAATACCAAACGTGTGAGTTTTACATTAAATTCAAAAATTAAATAAGATATAATTCTAAAAATAGTTTTAACTGCTTGATGAAAAAAAAAGAGGAGCTGCAACAGAGAATTCTAAGCTGATTATGCGAAGATCCAAAATGATTGACATTGTTAAAATGTAAAAATTATAATATATATAAAAATAACCGATAGCATTGAAGACGGGTAATCTTATTATTTTTATTTTAATATTTTAAGAAAATTCATTTTACTAATGAGAATACAATTATTTAGAGGGGTTTTATGAAAAACATTTGTAACTTCAATGCCAGATGTAGAAGTATAACCACGCACGGTCATAACTTATATTGTTTTGGTTATCATTAATAATAAAAGCTCAGATGTTTATGCGCTCAACACGACTAATATGTACGCATTCATACACTAAAAAAATAACAAAATACGCATTCTAAGCACAAAAAAAAAACATCAAAATATACAGGATACATTTCATTTTACCTTTAGTAATAAAAATTAATTATGATTTACAAGTATTCATTTTTATATTTTATCTTTTTCTGAATATTATGTAGGTACTAATTTACAATATGAATGTTACACTGTGTTACAATATTATTTTTATTTTGATCAAATTTGAATCTAAAAATATTTGAGACAAACATAATTATAAGGATTGATAATTTATTATTTATGTACACGTTAATTTGAATTGTTTTTAATAAAGTTCAAAAAGGTACTAAAATATGCATTTAAAATATAAAACTATAAAATAAGAAAAATAAAAAAGTATTTTATGATTCAGGAGAACACAAATCAAATTTGTATTCAGTTCCGAATGAAATTGAATAGAAAAAAATATGTGATTTCATGAACATCTGAGCCCTAATTATTAGATATCACAGGGACTAATAATATAAAATCATAGTATATTTATTCATACTTCATTACTCTAGTTGATTAGGTCTATGAAAATAATCTAAACCTCTAAAATCAAGATTTATTAATAGTTCATAAAAACATACCATTTAATTTATAATTATAACACGATTTTAAATCACATAAAAAATGTGACAAGCAGATTATGTAAATTTATTTGTCTTGTATCCAATGCATTCTAACAAATAGCCATAATCAAAAACATAATTTACGAGTGTTTTACGTTAAAACTAATAAAGGTTCTTTGCATTAAATATATAATTAATTAAACTTTTAAAGAAAATTAATTTTTCTAAATTAAAATAAAAAGGTATTCAATCTATTTCCACCAAATTGTACATGTATGGGATCTATTAAATTGATTAAATTATAAAGAAAATGTTTCAAAATAAAGCCTCAAATTTAAAATATTTTTATACTATAGTAAAAAAAGTTAATTTTAGTTCTCAAATTAAATTCAACAGGCAGTAATTCGTTTTACTCGTATTTCATAAATGCTCTTTTCATTATACATTCCTTTCAAAAACTAATTTATCTAACGTTTATTTTTCCATTTAACCCCCTATACCAGCAATATTCCAAGTTCCTGGCCTTAAATATATTGAGTTGAATCACAAAAATATAATAACTGACCAAAACAATTACTTTTCAATATCCATTTTTTGTAATAATAATTACAAAGGAAAAGTTTTTGGACCAATTTGAAATTAACATATTCATAATAACAAATAATTTAGTTAAATTTAGTATTTTAAACATAATAGCGTAATTAACTATTGAATATACTTAAATAAAAAATAATTATATAGCTTGAATAAATATTTAGAACTAGGATGTAATTTTGGCAACCAATACAATATTCATGTTTTTAATGTTACTATATTTTTATATTTTCAGTCATTAGTTTCATGATTATAAACAAACATTTTTTTAAATTGAATATCATATATACTAGTCTTACAAAACAGAAGTAATTATTGTTCAAGAGAGATTTTAAGTTTCTAATATAGCAACTCTCAATAAGAATTGAGAAATATTTATTTTACATATTGAGTATAAATTTAAGATGTAAGGGTTAAGAATACATATCATTTGCTCGCTTTGAATTATTTTATGGAATAAATTTAACCATGGGAGCATTAACAAGCCAATAAACTATTTATAAAATACCTACCACTACTATGAACAGAAAAACGTCTTTATCTTTAAATTTAATTCTCTTAAATCATAAGTAATTGTTTAAGTGAACTGCTCATTTTATTTATGTTTTCTGAGCCAGATATATAAACTGTACAGGAATGTAGTTAATATTCTCCATTTTGATTTAACTGTACAGTTCAAATGGAACACAAAAATTTGATTTGTCCAACAAGGTTTGATATAATAGAAAATATCTAAAAATTAAAAAAAAAAAATGTTAACTACTTAACAAAATAAATTAAACTAATAATTTCTAATAAACTTTTTATTTGATGACATTACATTAGCAAGTTGTTTTATATTACATTAAGTACAATGTTGATTTAATTCAGGATTTATATTATAAATATTTTAAAGAGCAAATAAATTAACCAATAATGATTAAAAATTATTATATACATTTGCAAATGTAATGACCAGTGGTTTTTTTAAGTGAGAAGTTTTAAAAATGTCTTCTACTTGATCATAATGATTAAAAATGTAATAATTTCATTCATATTATAATAGATTCTGTATGTATAAAAATGAATCATTAATTTCTTATAAACTGTTTAATTTTACAATATTTCATTGAGCATATCAAATTAATATATAAATCTATGTATTTATAAATAAATATGTATATAGCAAAGAAAAAAATGTTTACACATTTTAATAAGGGACATTCGAGAACAAATATGAAACCGATTCGCCATTATGAGTCCGTCGAACTGCTTCAGCAAACATCATTGATACATCTATACACTGTAAAAATAAAAATAATAATTAATTATATGTTACTGATAAGCCATGTGACTATTAAATAATTGTTTTCGAGTACTTGTTTCATATTATATAAATTGTAGATTGGTATACATGGTACTAGTGTATTAAGTATATAAAGCTATTAAATTCTTAAGTATTCGTAAAATATTATAGTAAGGTTTTTAATTTTTTTGTTTTTAAAAATAAATTAAAATTGTAACCTTGCAATGGCTAAAAAATTAGTAGAAAAATATAAATGTCAAGGTTTTTTTCATAATTTACAAGAATCATCACTCGAAATCAGTGTTACTGCCATCACCTGATTTTAAATGATCAATTATAATTGATTATAATTATAGTTAATACAATTTCAGTTATGTTTTAATAGATATGTAGATATTAAATTATCATGTAACATTCTATCAATTAACTCTTTTTTATTTCAAGAACAAAATTATATGGATTGAAACTTAAGTAATTTATATAATGAATATTTTCAAATTTTGGGAAACCCATAATTAAATTAATAAACTTAATCAATTTCAATTTTCAGATTTATGAGTTGATATCCAAACAATTAGGTCACCCAAAAATTTCAAAGTTAAAAATAACACAAATAATACTCAACAATTAATGGTTAAATTTAAAACTACTCACACGAATTTTTGGACATTCTTTCATATGGCCATCTTGCGGAATGGTATTGGTAACTACAACTGCCTCAAAGCATGCATTATTAATACGAGATATTGCAGGGCCAGAAAATATACCATGAGTTAGAATTGCATATACTTTTGTAGCACCGGCTTCAGTTAATCTAATACAAACAAAATTCCCATAAATATTAACACATTGTGAAAAAATGTATTGTTTGTATAATTCTTACTTTTCGGCAGCATGGCATATTGTGCCACAAGTATCTGCCATATCATCGACCAAGATAGCAATACGTTCCTTGACGTCTCCTACTAATACCATTGATGCCACTTCATTAGCTTTCTTTCTCTCTTTATGGATAAGAGCAAACTCAACATTTAACCGATCAGCAATTGAAGTGACCCTAGAAAAATATAAATGTTAGCCAAATAGGTAATATTTTTATGTTCAATTTTAATTATTATACCTTTTAGCACCACCAGCATCTGGTGATACAATAATGCTGTTTCTCCATTCAGGTATGTTTTCTTTTATCCATTTCAACACAGCTGGCTCAGCAAATAGATTATCAACAGGGATGTCAAAAAAACCTTGTATTTGAGAGGCATGGAGATCCATAGTAATAATGTGATCAGCACCAGCTACTGACAGCATATTGGCTACTAATTTAGCTGATATAGGTGCTCTACTCTATAATTATACATAAAAAGTATTTAATTAAATTAATAAAACACCGAATTTATATACTACTTATATATTGTATATAATCTCATTCTCACTAATAAAGTAGAATTATTATATTATATGGGTAAAATGTTTTTTTTTGCCTATACCAAAAGCCATCCATTCACCAATAAGTCATATGTTAAGTATTAGTGGTTAATTCAATCAGTGAATTTCACAGAAGTTTCGGGTATTTTTATAAGATTGGTACTATTTACTGGGTTCTAAATAATTTAAAGTGGCATGGTTGCAACAAAAGAGATCATATAACTTCTTAAGGTTATTTTAATCATAATTTAATAGACATAAAATTGAATATACATTTTCATTTTTAAACATACAATTTATGTATACGTATATGAATAGAATTATATTTTTTTTTATACTGTTTTCAATTTTATTTAATATTTTTTAATTATTTTGTTAATATTTAAAATAATTCACCAACAAATAAAATTTTTTTTTTTTTATTAAAATGCCCATGTTATTTATTATAGATGAGAGGATGATAGGAATTTTTTTAATTTTCTTACTAATTGTATTCAAATTACGCCACTGATAATAATTATGTCAATAAAATTATACTCCACTGATAAACCAACCACTCTGAATATGTAGAAAACTAGTAGCATGTAAATTATTAGTTTTGTTAATACTATTGTAAACATGCATGGTGATTAATTTTCATAAATAATTCTAAATATTATCTGATCTAAATTTGAATTAAGAGGAAAAAATAATTTAATAAATATTATTAAAATATTTTTAAATTAAATAAAACTTATAAATATATGTTTATATAAAAACAATATAAAATATTATAATATTAATACTCTATTATTTAATTCTTTAAAATCATACTAAAGATAATCTAAAATTTTATAAAAAGTCATAAGTAAGCTATAAAAATTATATTTTATGATTTAACATGAAAAGATTAGAAGTTCTAGTATTAAAAATATATAATTACAATGATCTATCTATCTGTTTAGATAAAAATAATTAAAAAAAAAAAATCAATCAATAAAACTGATCATGCAAACATAAGGAAATGTTATAAAAACTTTTGTTTCATTAACTCCTAAGAAAAATATTTTTTAGCACCTGATTGCCGATCACAAAATCTCGAAATAATTCCTGTAAAAATAAAGCAAACAAAAAATATGAATTGAATAGCTAATTCACTTTTTGAAGCCAATCTGTAAAATTAATTTTTACAAATTAAGATTACAAGTCAATGATGTTAATTGGACTATCATTTCAGTCAATTTAATTATTAATTTATCTATCTAGACCTTAAAACAATAAAGAATAGTCAACAGTTTTTATTTATTTTATAAATGTTTAAAAATGTATAAAAAATATGATTGTAAGTTTTTAATAATACAAAAACTGATTTTTATGAATACCATTATTTTTTAATTGTTTCTATAGATTATTTTATAAAATAATGACATTTTTTTGTATTATTAGTTTAGATATGAATGGGTTATCAAAATAGTTTAATGGCTTATGCAATCTGAAGCATTGTATTCTTTTACAAAAGTTAAACAATGTTACAAAATACAAATTAAACACTTACATTACTTTTTTTATAACAATTTACACTGAACTAATTAATTATAATTATATATTAAGTTTAAACACTAAGGTGGTAACTGATAAAGAAGTATATTATATAATCTTAGTTTATACATATTACTATACCTATATATAAATGAATAAAATAATTTATTTTTTTTATGAAAAATGTTTAAAAATAAAGAAGTCCACTTTTAACAAACTTATTTTTTCTTTATATATAATTGTAGATAATGTATAAAATAAATACATAATACAAGATGTATATGCTTAATGTTAATATTTAGTTTAATAGGTAGACATGCAACAAAACTACACACTATAAAGCTAATACAAACTATCACAAACATTTCTTTAAAAGATCTATCCACGTCAGTATTATTTATAGCAGAACATGAAACGGTAAAGCTTTATAATAGCCAATAGGTATGTTAAATTTAAAAGAAACACACGGAGTATAAAGCATTAATACTCGTAATATAATGGTTATTTCTGGCAGCTATCCTAATTTTTCACACCTAAAAATATATAATAAGCCTGTATTAAATTAATTGCAACACTACGTGACATCCAATACTTATTTCATTTAAATTAACAGTTTTCAAATATTTTGTATCTGCGTGAAATTAACAAGTGATATTCAAACAAAATAGAAAATGGACTTTAAATGGCACAACTACAGTAGTAATCCAATGACATAACGACATATTGATCAATAATAGTGCACATTGAAACCGACATATAAAAACACACAATACCCAACAAATTCATAATTTTTTAAGTACCACAAATGTATGAACTTAATGCCCAGGTGAGTATATTTAATAATGTTTCATTGAATAAAACTATACCCGAAACTTCCATTCATTGCACTTGACGGTTGCCCTTGATCTACTATTGCCATTCTCGGGGATGTCGCCATTCTTTAGTTTACAGCACAAACAGCGAAAAATAATTAATAAGTAAGGTACGATTATAATAATAACATCAAATAATAAAAGGAAAATTAAACTGTTAAGTTTAAATATAGTTAATTGGCATAAAAACATTTGGAAAAGATATAAAAGTAACTACACAAAAATAGAATAATAGAATTTGAATTCTCTAATATGAATTTAAATAGCACAATTATTTAATATTTAACTATATACAAATTATACATCATTATATTTAAAAAATTTTGAGAAATTTAAATTGTAATACATTAGAACTAAAATATTTGTTCATACACCTACCTATTGCAATTTAGGGTTATAGTTATAACTAAAATTACTATTCAAAATGTTATCATTAATAATCTAATGATATTTTACTATATTAAAATATTTTAAGGAAACTCATAAACATCATTATTAATGTCTTGATTTTTTATTTTTTAATATATACAACTGAGATTTGTTAGTTGAATTAAAAATAATAACAATTTAAAAGAATTGTTAAATTTATAGTTATTGATACATGGATAATTTACAGATAAAGAATAGTTTGGATAGTTATGTTTTTTTTTTTTAGTAAATCTGTACAAACAAATAAATATAGGTAATAATTGGGGTTGAGCTACAACTACATTTCAATTAATATACATCAAATACTTCAAAATAAAAATAATAGATTTAATTTTTATTCTTCTTAATAGCTTACCTTATCTTTTTTATCTTGTCTAGCATATGGAAAACATGGTATGACAGCAGTTACTCGAGATGCAGATGCTATTTTACAAGCATTTATCATGATCAATAGTTCCATTAAATTGTCATTTACTTCACCACTTCCACTTTGTATAATATAAACATCCTCACCTCTGACGGACTCTCCAATTTCAACACTATAATAAACATTAAGTATTATTTAAACAATACTATTTGTCATTGTAAATTACTCAATTTAATCAAATAAATAAATCAAATACCATTGAAACATAGAGTAATTTAAAAATTAAGCGATGTATAATGCAATTTAATGTGAATGGTTAAATATCACTAATGGAATTCATACAGGTTTAGCCCCATTTAAATTGTTTTCTAGTATACCTAATTTAAATATATTTCATTTTATGGTATGCATTATATTTTAAAATCACTTTAAATTAATTAATAAAAATTAACAGAACCCTTAAATATAATCAAATTTCCTCATATGAAAATGATAAAAAATGACTTTTAGGTACTAAAACAATTTTACTAAATATTTAAATTAGTATTCATATACTAAATATATGTATAATAAACATATATATTGTCACACAAGAACCATCATGGCCAATCTAAAAATATTCAAATAATACGTTTAATATATGAATAGATTTGTATATTCAAGATGTGCAAGATCAAATGGTTAGTTTTGATGTTTGTCCGATAGGTTCGCTGTAAAAATTCCAAATGTCATTATGGCTTATCTAAAATTGTTTTTTATCAGTGGTATCATGACCAATCTCAAAATATCATAATGGTACTAATAATAGAATACAGCCGTCAGCTGACAACAACTCAATGAAATTATTATTATTGACAATAAGATGAAATAATGGCCATCTTTGGTCCCCGAAAATACCAATGTGATCTCTGTTGTCAATACAAATCTAGTAATCTATCTGATAGCAGTTTTAATGTTCATAGGAAAAGAAGGGCCTAAGCCAGAGCACAAAAGAAGGCAGGTAAAAGATTGGCTGTGAAAAAACAATGCTATACTTTATGTTGTGACATAATTGCACGGTATATATATAGAAACTCCCGACGTAAATTTGTTACTGGTTTGATGAATCTCAGACAAATCTAGTAGCATCATTGTTTGTGTCATGTCTTATAGATGCAGTAGAGAAACTACTGGATGAATCTGGGCTAAGACCTTTTATCAACATTTATTCAGACAGCTGCACTTATCAAAATAGAAACTTGATTTTGTCCAATGCCCTCTTGGAATTGAGTATGAGAAAAAATGTTATAATCAACCAAAAATACCTGGAAAAAGGGCATACACAGATGAAGGCAGATAGTGTCCACAGTGTCCTAGAAGGAACAATGAGAAACAGAGATATTTTTTTACCATCCCAATTTATTTATATAACAAAAAATGCTCAAAAGAATCCATTTCCCTACAGAGTAATTTATCAATTGGCAATTCTTCAGAGACCTAGTTCAACCATATGATTTATGACAGCATCTGTCCAGTGAAGAAATGTAGTGACCCAGTAGTTACCGACTTAAGATGGTTGTAGTATAATTCCTCTGGCAAAAATAAAGTATGCTCTAGATTTTTTTTTACATAACTTCAACCTCTTCCTACTAGGCCCAAGACAAATATTAGAACAGGAAAAATCATGTTCCTTTCTCTCAATAGTGACCCAGTGGAAATACCTAAAGACAAGTGGAAAGATTTGCAAGGTATAAAACCAGTCCTTCTACATGACTGTCACAATTACTATGCACTTCCATATGCAGATATCTCCTACAGACAAACTAAGGCAAAAAAAAAAAAACTAACAAAGTTACAAAACTGGGACAGTAATTATTATTGGCTAAATTTATTTAAATGTGTTCAATAAGAAATTTATTTTAAATTAAAAGTTTTAAAAATTGTACATTTAAGATTAAAAAAAAAGAAATTGTTTGTGATTTATGAAACTATTTTTATTTTTAATGTATCCTTTTCATGGCCCACCTAAATTATAAATATTACAATATCAAAGTCAATTTCACAAAATGTTAGTAAAAATAAATTAAAATTTTTTAGAAAGATAAAGTAGACGTCAATGTTAATGTCAAGAAGTATACTAACATTCAAAATTCCTAATAACAAAATAGATTTTTGTTCATCCTGAAAAGTTGGGAAAACTGAAATTGGCCATGATGATTCTTAGATGACAATATATAATATATTTATATATATGTTTACTGTATTTAATTTTCTATAGTAAATTTCTTAATTGTTACTCGATTTGTATGTCAGATGAAAAGGAGTACAAAAATCATAATAATTATTTTCCCACTTAACAATAACATTGATCTAAAAAACTGTCCAAGTTCAAAAAGTATTAAATTGAACGATATTCACAAAATATTACAATTCTAAATAATTTAAACGATGTAATTATTACATATAGTTTCACAGACATTATACACCAGTAGTTTAAGTTTTCACTGAACTACCCAAGTATAATATTATGCTGTTGCTAGGGTAATGGGTAGGGTGGTTATAATTAAGCATATTGATCAAACAAAATAAATGTTTTGGACGGGAATATATTACATCGACAAGTTAAGTGCTGGTTATGATGGTGTGTAGATTATTGATTGCACTCGAATGGACGCGATCAACAGGTGAAACAGGGCAAACCATGGTTAAAAACGTATCGCTACAAGCACGGTGGTTTGTATCGAAATCGACGAGTGATTATCAAAAGAACCCGTCGGTGGGTCGGCGAAAAAAATCGGTTTCGCAGCACCGCACGTGCGCATCGCTGCCACGAGCGAACGGGTACAGGTGAGCGCGTCGGCGTGGAGTAGGAACGAGCCGGCCGGAGCACGTGTTCGCGCTGGACGAAACCGATTTCTTAACCTAGAAAACGATTGCGCCGGGACACGGTAACGCGTTTACTCTTCGCGGTACGTGCGGTCGAGGTTCGGAAACGAATCGATCGAACGCGTACGCGACTGCCGGGCGACGGCGGAACGAGAGGAAATGAAAAAAAAAGAACCGGTACCGCAGCGGACGAACGGGGACAGACGTAGTACGCGCGCGCGCGGCCATGACCGACACGGACAGGAGCAAGAAAACATCGCCGCGCTCCCTGCAGGGATTTCGCTCGCCGGGCGCGATCGGTTACCATGTCTCCAGGTTGCTGAACTTCTTGGTGACCACCTTGCCGACGTCGATGCCCAGCCGGTCGACGATCCGCTGCGCCAAGTCCGGGTGCGACGTGCCGCTGAACACCTTGATGTTGGGCATTCTGCTGTTGGCGACGTTGGTGCGCGTCGAGACCGAATTCGTGTTCACCGGGCAACTGGCGAGAACGTGATCGGATGATAACAAAGGCATACTACCGCCGCGACCATCGTGCAGCACTACGCGAACGGCCCGCCGCCTACCGCGCGTACCCCACCGACGACCGATCGCGGTTATCGGCGGCCGCCGCCACGGGCGACCACGGCGACCACGGCGGCGGCCGTCCGTACTACGCGCGCGCGAGGCTCCGGTCCCGAACCCTTTTACGGCGCGCACGGGAACCGTGGCGCGCGGGTACGTGAACCGTTCGAAACGATTACGCGTCGATAAGCCGTGCGCGATGTCGTCGGTTTATCGCGCCCGCGCACCGAATATCGCGTAATTGCGGTCGCTATCAGCGAACGTCATGATGATTCCGCTCGATCCGGTATCAGCTTTTCGACGTTCCTCCGCCGTAATCTATACGGCCGCGCAATGCACTCGTTACTACGCGTTGTTAACCTTTCGTAACGTTCTCCCGCGCGTACTTCCGTCTCACGTGCACGGGGATTCGGTTCGGGTTCAATCCTGCGTTTCGCGCTACGCGCGATCGATTCGATTCGATCGTTCGATTCGGTTCGCGATGCTCTTTAATCGGTTTGCATTTTATCGAGAGACTATCTGCGGTCTCGGCACGTTCGGAAACCCGTAATTAAGCGCACTAATCAAATTTATTTTTACCTTCATACCTCGGTGCCGTTACGTCAACCGATGTTTTACAATTATCGCAACATCGCGGTGTATAATAAACCGGCGGAACATCACCACCACCACCACCACCACCCTTGCCGCATGCCGTTTCGCCTACCGTGTACATTTTATTTTTACTTCTGTCTTCGTACCTCGTGGCGAGAAGTTTTGTTACGTCGACCGATGTTTTACAATCATACACAATACAGCGGTGTGTAATTTACTGGCAAAACACCACCGCCCTTGCCACGTGGTCGTTTCGGTCTTATTGCGTTTCATTTACCGTGTACAGCAGGTGCAGGAAGAACAGCTACCTCATACGTCTCGATAAATAATTACATAATTTACCGGATATTTTAAACGCTGCACGCGAGCGCTAATTCAACCGAGAAATATTTACAATGGAAATTATTGGTTTTTCTCAACAACAAATCAAGATTTGAATATTCACAACTCGTACAAATACAACATACCTGTATTTTAAACTCTGGTTGATGAACTGCGTTGCTCCTAGCCGTCACACGATAGCTGTTTATTCGAGTTTTAAAAATTCTGTTTAATATATTATTTTACCCAAGAGAAAATTTCGCAGGCTGACGGGCAAGATTTTCAACCGATTCAGGCCAATTTTTGGTGACTACTCGTTGATTTTCAAATTATAACATTCAATTCCTGGATGAGTGCGCAATTTTCGTTTATACTAATATACGTGGTGGGTTATATATATATATATATATGTATAATGTTTTGAACCAAAAACAATGAGCATCAAAATCCTGCAACAACTACCCAACGTGTTGAATCAATGAAATTTTATTTCGTTCAGCTGTTTTATTTACAGAGGTATGTTGAAAATGTAAAATATTTTCTGATTTGTACTATCATTAGAACTATTATCGATTATGGTTTATCTGAACAATGGTATTGATTGAACGATTAAAAGCGTGTAAATTTGTTCTTTAACAAATTTTGTAATTTTGTTTTGCAACTACAGTGGCCCATTGTATACAACAGTTAGTGATTGTATTGTATATGAATACCATTTCATTCATTGCGTCGTCGAAGGTTACTGGGAAAATGAAGTGTGTGAAATTAATAATATAGTAAAAAAAAAAAAAAAAAACAATAGAATATGTTATTATGTATAGACGAGGAGAGAATATGACAATATGGCAAATTTAGTTGTAAATCAGGCAGAAATTTCATAAAGAATTAGCGTAGCATACATCAGTTAAAAAAAATGAAGAGTGAAGAGATATCTAATATCTATCCCGCCAATTACCGTAACCCGTACACTGTGACCTCTGTAATTATAACATAACGCGATAAGTATAAAAATATGTAGTACTCAGGATTTTAATAGCCAATTTAATTTGAAACTACAATATCTCTTTTTTTTTTAGATTGGATTAATGAAGATAAGGACAATACAAATATATACTAGAAATATTAATTAACTAACCAAGTATTTATAAGACAAATTTAGTATAATATAGTTATGAATAAAATGCTCTCAACTAAAGTTATGAGTATATAGTCTATAGCAATGACGTACATAGGATTTTAATACTATGAGTCAACCTATTTCAGAAGAAGCCATGTAATGTAGCATCAGCCATCTATATTCTATGTATTACAAATTTGATTGCTTTGCTCGCAAGTAACGATTTACTTTATTCGTTTGATATATTGATACCTAATATAAATTACCAATAACAAAAATCATTAAAAGTACCTTATAATTCATTGTTGATTTTATTTATTTCATTTTGATTTTTTTTTTTTTCGATAACTTAGGTATCTACACCATTTGACATTTGAACAATCTATTTGCTTATAATTTTTTTTATTTAAACAGTTAAGATCTTTTATATAGTGAACAGAGCATAGTGACTATCATTAAAATTATAAATATTTTATTGAGTTGTAATACTTACCACAAATCTATTTAATTTGTTTTTTTAACAAATACTTTCATGTCTATAATATATGTAATAGGTCATAATAAAATACTTGATGCAAAAGTAAACATTAATAAAATCAATAATTTTACACCTTATATTTTTGTTACTTCTTACGTGGTTTATGATACATGGTACCTTTTAAACAAAAGTTTTATTACATGTCGTAAACATTAATAATTTGGCTATTTAAAAACATGTATTAAACACAAAACCAATTTTTTATAAAAAATAAGTTTAAAAATTATTTTTTTTGTTAAACAATATTCCTTAACAATCTTATTTATTTTAAACCCATACCAAGAGTGGATAGAAGTGGATGGGTTATCTTCTTCGCAAGAATTATATGCCGTTTCTGTAAACAAGATACAAAAGTTCATATTAGGTTTATAAAAGAACAGAATACTCTGATTTTCTTTAACTGCTATTTCTTTTTTTTTTTACAATATGCCTTGTTCAACCAGACAGTCTAATTATTTTCATTTGCAGTTCCATGATTTAACTAAGAAGAAGCAAAATATAAAACTATAAGGTTTAAGACACTTAAGACTTAGCAGTCGAAGAATGCGGAATTAATCATGATTGGTAAATTGGTATGTGGTTTCATCTGTACGAATTTTAATTGGCAGTAAGCACAAGAAAGTAATTGAGGCTTTCACACAGGACGGTGAACGGATTTTTTCCGTATGACCGCTGTGATACAACTGTGTCGACGACTGAGAAGTACGTTACATCATTTACTACTAACACGATACAGACGGTAAAAATAAGTTTAAGAAATTGCCTAAATAATACTCCTTAAAAGTATGTAATGTGTAATCCCCGGAGCCTCATTAGTGCTGTCAATTTTAACTCGAAAGACTTTAAATTTTGAAGAAATTTAAGTTAGTTTACGTTGTCTCTGGAAAAAAAATTGAACTCGACAGAAAACCCACTATAGATCATATGGAACATTTGGTAAAATTAAATCTCATACTATTATGAACTGTAATTGAAAATTTGAAAATATAAACTTTTTAAAATTATAATTAAAATTAAAATTAAAAATGGAAAGTGTTTCTTACAATCTACAAATAATTTTCTACCGAACTCAAATATTTTTTGAGAATCAAAATTAGACAAAGTTAATTTACTTTAATTTTGTCAAAAAAATGAGTACGTTGTCATAAAATTCGTATAGTGAATTTTATGTTGTAATAGAGTTATGTTGACATGATATGCGTACTAGAATTACATCCGTTAGTGATTCCAAATGATGCACGGCAATTACGGTGTGGTTAAATCAATTAATTAAACGACAACTAAGAAACGAAAAAATCTAATAATGTATAAGTAGGGCTGGGATTTTATTGCTCCAAAAAAATAACAAAAAGGCTCTAAAAAAAAAAAAAAATACAAAAATGCTTTAAAAATTATAAAAAATGTGTTTTATATAGTTTAAAAATGATATAATATAAACCATGTTTTTTACTGTAATGTGCGAACAAAGGCAAATTAAAAAATAAATAAATAAATCACGTTACCAAACATATTTAATTATATTAATTTGCGCCACGGAAGTAGTATGAAAGTCTACCCGTGGCGCCGTCTATTCAAAAGTGAACAAATAAATTATATTTATAATAATAATAAAATGGGTACCTGTTTGTTTAATATTTACATTTTATTTATTTGGACTTTTGCAAATGGAAAATTTTCTTTCAACTATTTTAATTTTGTTCTATTTTTGATAAAATATGTATGTGAGTCGATATGCTCGTACTTATTAGTTTATCAATTTAATAGATTACATACTAAACGTACAAATTTTGAGCGAACAAACACCGAAACGCGTGATCAAATATTCTAATATTTAAGAATTTATAGATAAATTCTGAAAAATACTCTAAAACAGCAAAATATGCCTTAAAATGCATATAAAGTTTAATTTCTCATTAAATGCAAAAAAATGCAAAATAAAAACCTACATTAAATTAAGTAGTATTACTTGAAACACATTTTCTGATTATGGACCTACGTGTTTGGACATCAGAAAAAAAGATGCATTTGCATCAAAATCCTAAACCTAATAATAAGTAATAAATATCCAACCCACTAGATAACTATTGATATAACCAGTAATCAGTACCAGTATTAATATTGTATATTATATATAGTATTCTATCTATGTATTTTTAATACTTTTTCTTATTAAAATTTTAATTTTAAAAAATGTTGCATTATAGCGATAAACCCAACAAACATTTTCCACTAAAAATAAATAAACGTGTGATAATATTTTATCTTTATGAAAATGACATGAAAATAAAAGTATATCAAAAGTAAATAAACATAAATAAACCATATACAGCGATGGGGGTCAACTTGCAGCTTGTAAACCACATGTTACTCTTGTCATTGTCAGATGAAACTCGTATTTTATTTATAAAATTAATATTTACTTATATTATTACTATTTTTAATTTTAAC